TTTATACAATCTTAGTATATCTTAATATGTAATATATTAATATATACAACTAAAATTACTAATAAAGATATAAGCAAAGCCTCACCTTAACATCAAAAAAAAAAATGCAAGATTTTTTATAGACTCTTGTCAATGCATTTAGAAAAGGTTAACTGTAGTTCTATAGTTACAGTAAAAATTTTACCTTCTAAGTAAGATACCTTCAAGTGTAAAATTATTTTATATACAGTGCAAGACAGCATAAAACATCCAATGCGCCAAATTTTTAAAAAATTTTTATGATAAAAAAGATAAAAAAAATATATTACCCAATCAAATTTCAAAATTTTAAAAATCATATATTTTAAATTGTAATAACTTTTACAAAATTAAAAATTTTGAAAATTTCTCTTTCAGATTTGTTATTTAAGCAAAAAAGTATAAATTTGAAAGAGGAATTTTTATTTTAATTTGTTTTAAAAAAGTTATAAAAAATTGGATATCTTATGCTGTCCCGCACTGTAGTAACTGTTAGCACTTCTTCGAAGATAGAGACGAGTTTAATTTTATTTTTTGCTTGTGAAATGTTACACTCAGTACTTTTATCGGCCAACCCAAATTTTTTGGCCGAAAAATATATAAACTTGGTCAGCTAAAAATCGATGACTTAGCTCCGGGCCTATTCCGACCCTAAATTTTTGAATTTTTCTGCCATACCTTTCTGATCGCGTAACTCTTAAACGTTAGCCAATAATTTCAAATAATTTTTAATGCTATTTAAGTGACGGTATGTTTCTATAAATTTCGTTAAACGATGTTTGTGCCTCGATCCGCGATAAAAAGATCTTCCACAACACATGTTAAAACAAATAAGAGAGTAAAAACCACCGCACAAGTTGTGACTAACGTAGAAAGAACGGATGAATCTTTGAGTTTTGTAAAACCATCTAATCAGGTTAACGACAACATCGAAGAGACTGAAAAGACCGAAGATCCTATTAAAGAATACTGTTATCAACAACGAGAAGCGTCGACTGGGGAACCAGTTTGTGTGGTCTGGTATGATTGAAAATGTTAATTCCGTAGCGTAAAAGGAATGCATGGAATTTAATCCTTGCGAGATTTTTAATTAATTGTCTTCTATTTATAGCGGAAAATATGGCGAATATATTTGTGACGAAACGGATAATGACGTCTGTAGCATAGAGTGTAAGAAAATAGACATAGAAAGAACACCGAAAATAATAAGGGCTATTTCTCATTCTTCACCAAAAACTACGCAATCAGTTTCCCAATATCCGCATAATATTGCAAACACCACATTTGTCTCAGGGGATTCATCACAAATGCACCTACAAGTTCCTTCAGATCTTTTTCATGCACAATTAACGGCTTACTTACCACATCCAGAAATTAAAAGTTTGACAAATTTTCAAGTGCAATCAACTTTATCAAAAAATAAAATCATAATAGAGGGCAGAAATGTTCCGCGTCCCATTACCAAATTTGAACATTGCAAACTGCCTCCAAAGATGGCCGACAATTTGCAACAGATCGGATATCTGAAGCCAACAGAAATTCAAATGCAAGTAATCCCAGCAACACTAGTTGGACGCGATATATTGGCAAGTGCTCAAACTGGATCTGGAAAGACCGCAGCTTTCTTAATACCAATAATAATTCATGCTTGGGCGATATCACAATTTCGTGAGGGCAAAGGTGGACCTTATGCTATAATCATGGCACCAACTAGGGAATTGTGTTCACAAATTGAAGAACTAGCAAAAAAAATGATCACAGGTTTACAAAATATGAAAACAGCGCTTATAGTTGGTGGTATACCTATATCTAATCAAGTTCATCGGTTGAAAAAAGGCGTACAAATTGTGATTGCTACACCTGGACGACTTCTTGGTATAATGAATCAATACGAGGAATTAATGACTAATATTCGTATGATTGTTATCGACGAAGTAGATATGATGTTTAAAATGGGATTTGAAAAACAGGTAACTGAGATAATGGATAAAATAAACTCATCACCAAATACACATCTACAGATTCTCATGTTTTCAGCAACAATTCCTGATAATATTAAGAAACATGCAAAGACACTACTTCATGATCATATAAGGATTACTGTTGGAGAATGTATAAATAATGTAAATAAAGTTAATAATAACAATAATGGAAAAAATATCACACCATCTATGTTAACAATTCCAGTAAAACAAACAATTTTGTGGGTAGAAAACAAATCTAAAAAGAAGCAATTGTTTTCAATTCTAAATGATCCAAAATATTATCGACCACCGATAGTTGTATTTGTCGAATCTAAAATGGGGGCTGATTTATTGTCGCAAGCAATTGAGAAAAAATGTGATGCACGGACTATAAGTATACATAGTGACAAATCTCAAAAGGAACGAATGCATATTTTCCAATCGTTTATAAACGGAGAATATGAAATAATCGTTTCCACCGGTGTATTAAGCAGAGGACTAGATTTGTCCACTGTAAATATGGTTGTGAATTTTGATATGGCAGTTTCTATTGATGAATATGTTCATCAATGTGGTCGTGCTAGTGGCGGCGTTAACGGATGGGCTATTACTTTCATTAATGAGGTTAGTTAATATGTTATTATGATTATAAATGTATATATCGACTAATTATTAAATTAAAATTTATAAAAATTAGGATCATAAACATCTTTTTAAAGAATTTGTGTCGATGTTGAAAATGCAACCTTCTGGTAAAGTGACACCTTTACCATCGAAATTACTTAATCATGGATATACTTTGTATGGAAAATAGCAAAGCATCAATTAAAAATTGGAATAAATTAAATACTGCCAAACCTTTTTCTATCTAATTTATTAATAACATCAATTCGGCAGAAAGATATTAAATATTCATTTGTTGCTTACACAACTAAAGGGCGATATATATTATTTGGAAAAGTAAATAGAAAATGTATATTTGGTCATTATTCTTTAAGAAATTGGGCTTTTATTTATTTGTCAATTTCATTTAAATTTTTCATTCTCGAATTCCCACCTTCCCCGTGTATAATAAAGTCTCAATTAAAATATTACATGGACATGCTTGTAAACAAGATATTTAACGATATCTTTAGATTGCATTCTGTAAATGCTCGTGTCAAAAAAAATTAACAATGAAAAGCAAAATCAGACCTTAACTACCAAATGTTCCTAGCGACCAACTATAGGAAATTAAAATGGTTTCGGCTCATTTAATTCGCATTTGTTGGAGACCCGGCAAACCTAAATTTTAATTTTTATATATATACTTTGTAAAAAAGACACCTGGTCATTAATAATGATAAATTTCTTTTCGAAGATAGTTAGCCCGGCCAAGTTATGAGAAACGGCTAATACTCAATTTTTTACAAATAAAAATGGTTCGAAACCTGTAGTCTACTGAAATTGAATGTAAAAGAAGCTTTCTTTGTTAAGACATACGAAATTGGTCCAAGTTCACTTTTTTTAGAAAATTTAGATTTGCTGCAGCGGTTACGATTTAGGTAATTTGGTCCTTAACCGATTAGACGACAACCAGGCAATAGTTGATAGCTTGTTAGCCAATTAACTAGTATTCCACCAGTAAGGACCTCTAATATAAGTACTATTTTTGGTGTCTTTATCAAAAGAGCTCTCAGTAAAACTTCTATTTGTACTGGATTGGACGTTATAACATCTCTCATCGATGAAATGATAATTTTTAAATATGTAAGTAAAACACTGATATTAAATTTTTTTTCCTTTGAATACTTCGAACCCAAAAGAAAAATTTATTTATATATATATTTAAAAAGAAAAATTTATTTTCAATTTCGCTATACCGATACTGAAACTTTTTTAGGACTGGTTGCTACATCATGATTTTTGGTCAAGTCACGGGTAATTCACTTAACGTTAACAATTACAGAGTTAATCAACAATGGTGAACCATCGTTATATAAGGGATCGATTTTCTAACTAATTAGACAATTATATTCGAATTTCGAAGGAAATTTGATCGAAAGGTTTATTATTTTTATGATTCAAATTTTATTTTGTATGTTCAAAATTTTATAATTATTTTTCACTTATTCGATATAATCATTAGATCTACCGTAATATATCGCCTAGCCTCTAAATCCCTCTTAGATTCCTAGTTTGAGAATAAAACTAACCGTTGGAATAATTTATAGCACTGATTTAACAAATTTTATTGGTTTTTTTTTTTTTTGAATTTTACACTATCAACTGAGAATGGACATATACTTAGATTTTGGTTATCTTAAATGAAGTAGAATCCCGATTTCCAAACCCAAACTATATAGTAATGTCATAATTCAAGAAGGTTGGATCGCAACCCTAGTCGCGACCTAATTAGATTCACCCTTAAAGTGATTTAGGTGATTTAGACTCTTTTTTAACATCGTTATGGCCAGAACGCAATGCAAATTTAGCATTTAGCTCTTCTATTTCTTTTCGCAATCGAACGTTCTCATCCATTCGTGCAGCACTTATAGCTAACTTTGAATTCAGTTCCTCAACTTCTTTATGGAGTCGAATATTTTCCTCCTCTAAACGTGTAACTTTTTCTTCAAGATCTGCAACATATGCTTTTTTCTTACGTCGACATTCTTTAGCTGCCACTCTATTACGCAAAAGTCGTCGCTGTCGTCGTTCGTCACTGGAAAGATTACGAGAGGTAGACGTACGTTTGCCACCAGAATTGACATCTTGTGATTGAAGTTGAACTTGAGCCAATGTCTGGGGATTATTATTCAAAAGTTCTTCCATATTAGGTGGTGAGTGTTCGGAAACTGTAGACTGTTCGCTGGAAGTTGAGGGCGCCACTGCAATCTGAGAGTTCAAAGGATCTATTGTTAAAGGTGTAGAAACGGGTATAGTTTCTGTTGTGAGATGTTTAGGTGCTACTTGTGCTAAATCAACCGCTACATTTTGGGCAATAGTAGAAGGAACGCCAGACAAAATAGCCGCGGCACTTGCAGCAATTGAGCTGGGGTTGGATCCTTTTAAAGTGGAACTATCATCAGATTTTTCTATTGGCTTTTTTGAAATATGAGTTGCTTTACGTTTTGCATCACCTTGTCCGGTTATGTCGGTAGGTGCTGTTCTCTTTAGTGATTTTGAAATTTCGTCGGTCTTTGTTTGTTTTTTGTCAGGTTTATTTTTATTTGTGGTGGCTGAAGTGACTGTCGCCAACTTGGTGTCGTCAACAGCCGTTTGTCCTTGTACTTCTTGAGGCATATTATAAAACTTTATTTGACGACGTCGCTCTTTATGACGAGTGAAGGTGACGGCAGCAAACTTTCAAAAAAGGGTGACGTTTTTGCAACAAGTTATTGTATGTATATCAGGGGATCCGCTTATATATATAATGTAAAAAATATGTCATCATACCGTCATCAGTAACATCAATGCTGCCTATTCGTGCGTTTTTTATAACACTTACTACAGTTGGCATATTCTGAACCATTGGTCAACTGCCAAGTGTAAAGTTCGACACGTTAGTCACTTCAAGGAATACATGAATTATAAAAAAAAATAAAATTTTTAAAAAAAAGTACATTATATAAGAATTTCACAACAAGTATGACATCATTATTGAGTCAAAACCTTTAATGATAATTAATGTGGTAAATTACGAACCACATTTCATCATTCTTATTGTTTAATATTTGTGGTAAATTTAAGGCTTTATTATTATTAAAAAATGGTTTCTTTTCTATTTGAATTTAGAAACTGGCGATTTCTGTTGATTGTTGAATTGGAAAATTCCCATCGCTGTCTGATGACTGACTTGTCATACATACTACACGTGATCACTAAAGAATTGAATTATTCACAATATTATCGTTATTATGAATTACCACTATCATTTTTTTGTAATTGCACTTGACCAATATAATTTCTTTTGGGATACAAAGTCCGGTCTGATGTGTTCCATGTGCAGACACATTTTCTTTTTAACTGGAACATAGTTCACATCGATATTACAAATTCTTTTATTCATTATTGTATTACATATAATTATTTGATTCAAACCTATATGCAATGTTAGACCATAAGATAAATGTATATAATATGGTGAATGTGTGTTAAAAACATATTACAAGAAATAGAACTCTTTACCAATTAAGTTGAACTTTTTTTATTTACAGTATTTTATTATACATAGTGCAAGACACTTTAAACCAACAAGTAAAAACTAATAATTTTTTTTTAAACTTTATAAAAGTTAATTGACAATTCACGATAGGAGAATATTAACAGGAGATTTTTATACCGGTAATAAAATATATTAATACAGAAATCACGATTCTTATAGCTTTATAAAAAATTTTATACTTAAATTGTAACTTTTTATAGATCTAGCTAATTTTACCAGTCTTACTATCATTAGAATTACAAAACTCTTTTACAACTTTCATTGAAGCTCACAAGATATTAGCTCAACAAAAAAATACCTTCATATATATATATATTTTTTGATTTCAGCAGTTTGTAACGGTAAAAATACAACTAATTCTGTATAATAAAAGCTTACCTGATCTAATACGTAGTTCAATTTAAGCAACCATTTGCTTTTTTTTGGAATTTTCAACTTACTGAAGATTTGGTTTCTGTAATTTCTCACTGGCAGTTGTTAGTTTTATTAAAACTGTTTTTTTAAAGACAATTTTTTATTTTAATCTTTAGTTTGTTTCTTAATTTGTTTATAAAAATTAGATCGGGTTTGTTCTTTTTTCAATTAAATCGAGCTTGTAAGTATTTGGTCTTTGGTCTTTTTTTTTGCTTGTGTTTTTTCTTTTATTATTGGTAGCAAACCTGTTTTTTTTTATTTCTTCTTTTCTTGTTTGTTTTGTTTTTTTTATTCCTTTTATCTTTATTTTTTTTTTTTTTTTTCTTATGTGCTAACTATATATTTCATATTTAAAGATAGAGTGTACTATTTTAAAATTATATATAAACTTGATAGTATATTTTTTTTGTAATTTTAATTATAAAAATTTTTACTAATTAAATATTTTTTAAACTCATAAGTTATAGAGTAGGTTTTTGTGATTCTAACAGTAATAAAATTATTAAATTTGGTTTAAAACTCATTAATATATGAATTTTTAAAGATTAGATATAAAAATTTACTATTAAAATTCTCCTATAGTTTTTTAAAAATTAACTAATTAAAGTTGATTTTTTTGTATAATTTAGGAAAAACATAGTATCCTAGGAAAATTCAAAATATATACAAATATATATTTTTTAAATTAAACATCTTATAAAATTTTAATATAATAAATAACTTATTTAATTTTATATATTATTGAATTTTAATAAAATTAATATATGAAAGGTTATGTTAATAATAGTCAGACCTAATATACAGAGCAGATTATAGTATCTTGCACAGTTGTAAGAGTTGAGCATATGGTGATCAATTCTATAGAAGCCAATTTTGAAAGATTATTTATAATATCTTTAATCTCCTATGATTTTCATATATATTTTAACAAATTTTTTCTTTATTATAATTTATTATTTTTCTCTTATAATTAAATCATTCAAATCTTAATTTAATATATTAACAAATACAATAACAACAAAACTATATCTAGTATCATATTTTTTGTTAATTCATCTTATAATAAAACCCATATATACCTTCCTAATAACATTCTTTTGTTAAATCATATAATTATTATTTCACATTTTTTTTTACTATTCTATAATCTCCTTAAATTCAATTTTTTAGTTTTACTCCTATTTTATCTGATTTTTTCTCTAATGATCATTACTTCTTTATATTCTTCTGACTTAAGTTCTTATCATTTTAATCTAACTATTGCTATATACTGTTACAAAATAGATTTTAGCATAATATATTATATAGTAGTATTAGTAATTATATATATTCATTATTATATTTTATATTATATTTATTATTAATCATTAATTAGTTGATAGTTATATTATATAGTAGATAGATAAAAGAATCTTAATTGGCTATTAGAATGTAGTACAGCTATATGGTATCAAGTAACATCTGTGATGTTACTATCGTCTTACAAATCCCAAGTATCTCTATACAAGTTTTATGTATCCTAGCATCAAATTTCTGTGCTAAGTGCCACAGCACAAAAATCTCAAGTATTTCTACACAAATTCTAAGTGTTTTTACATATATTCAAGTGCCTAAACACAAGCCTCAAGTGTTTCAATCACAAATGATAAATCATATAAACAATATCTCCAGTTGCTTCTGCACAGTTTTCACTATCCCAAGTACAGTATTATTTGATGTTGTTTGAACCTCTACTATCCCAAGTTCAATAATATCTAATGTTGTTCAAACTTCTATTAATCTGAATACAGTATCAAGTAATGTTGCTCAAATTTTCACTATCTCTACTAGGTAAAAAGATATATAAAGAGTAGTTTTTACTCTTTTCTGCCAATTCTAAATTCTTATACTTTAACTTAGACCCTTCTATCTTTACCTTTAACTTATAAAAGTGATATTTCCCTTTTAGGGTAATTTCTACAGGCAAGGTTGTCACTGTGTGTTTATTTAATAAAAGTTTATTTATATACTATTATTATCTCAAACTGTTTGCCTGCTGCTGTATAGTAAAGTAAACTACTATACCTTTATCCTGTATATATTTGCAATAGTCAATTACTGTACTAGATAATCTTGTTACTTGGTTGTATTGTACCAAGAAGGCTACAAATCTGTAATATTTTGATGCCTTTTGATGAAAATATAAAAATTTATCTTAGGAAAGGAACAGAAACCTCTCTTAAGAAAACTATCTTAGGAAACAATTCTTTTTCTAGAAAAAATTTTATTTTTGAAAGCAGCAATTGTAAAAAAGCATTTTAAAATTTTGGAATTATTATTTTAGGAATACCTCTACTAACTCAAATTGAATTGAATTATTTTGTATTTTGTATTTGTATTTTGTATTTTGAAATTAAAGAAGTTTATACTCTTATCTTTTATTTTTGAATTTTTGATTTTTGAAATAAATTTGATTTTGATTTTTGATTTTGATTTTGATTTTATATTACTTATTGGCCAATGAATATATTCTAAATTGTTTAAACTTTTAATTGATTACTTGAATTCTTTACTTGCTAGCACTATTATTTTAGATATATTCTCTTAATTTTTATTATTTTATTTTATTGTTTTATTACTCATTAGCAGTGTTGTCACAGGACAGTTGTGAACATAAGTTTGGACACTTTTGGACATTTTTGGACAAATAAATAAATTAAATTTGCTCAAAATTTTATTAGTTAATCTATTTTAACTTTTTAAATAAAAATATTCAGCACTATAAAAAATATATAATCATATATTTTTTAAATTAATATATTAATTTTTAAAGTTGTATATGCTGTGAACATTCTTGGACATTTGGATATTTGAACATTTGGACATTGGATATGATTAAAAAAAATCTTAGACATAGTAGACATAACAACACTGGTCATTAGTACTAATTCTTCTTGAAGAAATTTATTTTATAGAAGATTTTCTCACTCAATTTCATTTAGAAAATATTCAAAAAAATCAACAGATTCATAGTAAAAACCCCTCTTTTATTACAACTGTATTGCAAACCCTTGCAATTGATTTATCTTGCTCACAATATTATTCACCTTCTGACCTTTATAGACACTTTGCTGTATTTTGGACTTGGTATTCTGAAAACTACCAAGCTATTTTCTTTAGTAAAGTTACTTATCCTAACTTTTTAAGATTAGCCATTGCTAGATGCCCAGCTACCTGAGTTGCAGCTAGAAATATTATTTTTAGTTGTCATTATTAAAACCAGATAACTAATTCTCAAAATATTGTACAAACCATCTTTTAAGAATATACTTCTTATTATTTAGTATTATCAATTATTGTTAACCAAAGAACTTTATTTGATATTTTTATTGATGATCCAATTAGAGCCCAACAATATATTGAAACTTTACAAGCTGCTATATTAGAATCAGTACAAGGTTTTAAAAAAGAAACTAGTACATCTACTTCTCAACAATTACTACAAGAAACTGTTATTATTATAAAAGAATCTGTTACAACTTCTACTTATCCTATTACTACTGTTGTTACCCCTACTCAAACTCCAATACCTATTGTAGACCTTAGCTTTTTAGCACCATATAGTAGAGATCAGACCAGTGGACATTATACTTATTATTAACCAAATAATCTACTAAGAATAGAA